CCCACCCCACCCCAGGCCTTCCCCACACTATTGTCTGTGTCCGTGGGTTATGCATATATGCATATATTAAAGACAGGCATTTTTATTGTGATAAGCATTGATAGGACATTTCCAATTAATAAAACATTTTTCTTGATTAGTTCTTTCTACAGTTGCGTTTTGGGGGAAAAATAATATTTTTCTTCCCGTTGCTGTTTATAGCTAGTGCTGGTGTTACTTTTTACTCCTTAGTCTGAATTTCAGCCAAAGGCCTGCAAAGTCTGTATCTATTTGAGCAATGTGCTAATTATACTTTATTAGATGTGCTTGCCCCAGAGTAACCTACTTGCATTGATATTGGACAACTGCCAACCTGCAGCTTAATGCCATGGTTGAAATTCAATTGCTGGACTGCACGCTGGTTTGCAAATATAGTTTTACAAAATGGGAACAGTAGGGGGCATGCAGAGCTCAGGATGTTTGTTATCCTACTGTTTTAGGAGACCTTATTTTACTTTCTGGAATCTGTGGTCTTATTTATTTAGAATGCTGACAATGGCGTTCCTTTCTTAATATGTCTGCTATGTGTAATAAGGATATTGTATCCTTGTAAATATTATGACTTTATCTGTCAGTATCAATGGCTGCTGTGTTTTACTCAACTTACTCTGGGCATGTGTGCACATATATACATACAGGACATTTTTAACATAATTTGTGACTAGCAATGGTATACACTGTACTTAGCATTTTGAGTCACAAAATTGTACTTACTGTGAAAGTGCTATGTAAATGGTAAAGCACTATACAAATGATAGTCATCATCATTCCTTTAGCATTTAAAATTTTATTAAAAATTTTAATAGAAGACCCCAAATAGCGACGGCAATCTTGAGAAAGAAGAACAAAGTTGGAGGGATCACATTACCAGATATCAAGTTATACTACAAGGCCACTGTAATCAAAACGGCCTGGTACTGGCACAAGAAGAGACACATAGATCAGTAGAATAGAAGAGAGAACCCATATATCGACCCATGCCGTTACGGTCAATTAATATCTGACAAAGGAGGCAAGAACATACAATGGAGTAAAGACAGTCTCTTCAATAAATGGTGCTGGGTAAATTGGACAGGTACATGCAAAAAAATGAAACTAGACCACCAACTTATACCATACACAAAAATAAACTCAAAATGGATAAAAGACTTAAATGTAAGACATGAAACCATAAAAATCCTAGAAGAAACCGTAGGCAGTAAAATCTCAGACATCACTTGTAGCAATATATTTGCCAATACATCTCCTAGGGCAAGAGAAACTAAGGAGAAAATAAACAAATGGACCTGCATCAAAATAAAAAGCTCCTGCACAGCAAAGGAAACCATCAACAAAATGAAAAGGGAGCCCACTGTATGGGAGAACATGTTTGCCAAAGACACATGTGATAAAGGGTTATATCCAAAATATATAAGGAACTCATACAATGTAACAAAAGGAAGACAAACAATGCAATTAAAAAATGGGCAAAGGACCTGAATAGACACTTCTCCAAAGAGGACATACAGATGGCCAAGAGACATATGAAAAAACGCTCAAAATCACTAATTATCAGAGAGATGCAGATTAAACCCACAAAGAGGTTTCACTTCACACCTGTCAGAATGGCTCCATCAACAAGTCAACAAACGACATGTGCTGGCGAGGGTGTGGAGAAAGGGGCGCCCTAGGACACTGCTGGTGGGAATGCAGACTGGGGCAGCCACTATGAAAGCAGTATGGAGGTTCCTCAAAAAATTAAAAATGGACCTGCCGTTTGACTCAGTGATCCCACTTCTAGGAACATATCCTAAGGAACCCGAAACACCAATCACAAAGAACTTATGCACCCCTATGTTCATAGCAGCGCAATT